AAGAAGATCCATCACCAAGCCTCCGTATTTATAAGCGGATGAATCAACTTTACAATTAATATTCTTTATGCATTTTATTTTATAATAAAAAGTGGTAATAAATATTGCATTATTTTTTAAATTACTATAGACAATTTTTCGAATTACCTTTGAATAACAGAATTGCATATTTGTTTAGTGTTTTTTTAACATTCATAGGTACTTTTATACAATGTATACACACAAAATCCAATTTAAAATTATCAATATTTGTTGACATAACCTGGAAGCCTGGTTTGTTGACACAACCCACGAAATACGGTATTTTGACGATTTCAATTTAGTGAAATTGTGTGCATTTCCATATAAATCCGGAAAAATTTCATAACTATAAAGTTTTTTTTTTACAGTTGCAGATTTTCTATAAAAAAAGGACCACTTTTACGAATTTTTGGAAATTAAAAAGAATTATAATGTGGCAAAAAATGTAATTATAAAAAAAAATTCTGTTTTTGAAATTTTTATTTAATGATTCTAATGCATATAGTTAAAAAGAAAGTAAATTAAAAAAAAGTACTCAATCTGACGAATCATTAGCAAATTCAATCACAGTTAAAGTAGAAATGAAACCATGAACGCAATGTTTACTTGTCGCATATAAAGTTGTTTCCAAGTTTCTTAATATTTTATAGTTTAGAAACTAAACCCTTTTTCTTAGTTCATAAATATTTGCAATAAATTTGATTACAACTAGGAACAGTTAAATGAAAAATATTTTTTTTGTAAGAAGTTAAGTGAAAGAAAGGTAGAGAAATATCAAAGATTACAAATGCTTTGCTTAAAGTTTATTTTTAAATTTATATTTCTCACTTCTAACAAACTAGAGTTACATCGAATAAATAAACAATTAAACCTACTTCCATATTTCCATCCTAAATTCTAACAACGAAAACGAATTTCATCGAATAAAAATATTTTAGTTTATCTTCATATTTTCTTGATTTATGTACCTCACTTTTAAAAATAAAAATTAGTTTTTTTTTCGAATATAAGCAATTCTAGTTGTTTTCAGATTTTCAGCCGTTTTATAATTTTTTTTCTTCTGTCAACAAATTTTTTATTCATCCAATAAAAAACAATGCAGCTCTTTTATTTTCTGCCGCTTTATACGGCTCACCTTTTATAACAAAAATGAAATTAATCGAAAAATAAAAACTGTTTATTGCCACATTTTATATCTATTTATACTTCTCACTTCTAACTACGAAAATGAGTTTTAGGAAATAAACACTCCTCAATTTATGAACACATTCTCTACCGATTTATACTTCTCACTTCCAACTACAAAAAATAGTTTTAACAAATTAACACTCCTCAATTTATGAACACATTCTCTACCGATTTATATTTCTCACTTCTAACTACAAAAATGAGTTTTAACAAATTAACACTCCTCAATTTATGAACACATTCTCTACTGATTTATACTTCTTACTTCGAACTATAAAAAGTGAGTTTTAACAAAGAAAAATACATCCATTTGTACCCACATTCTCTACCAATTTATACTTCTAACAACAAAAATGAGTTTTACAAATAAACACTCATCAATTTATACCTACATTCTCTACAGATTTATACTTCTCACCTACAACAAAAAACTAGAGTTTTATCGAATAATGAAACAATTTAATTTGTTCCCACATTATCCATCATATCATGAATTTCTCTAGGTCACTAGATTTAGGATGACCGGAAGTAGTTTAAGGCATGGTTCATGTTTTGTATTGGGATAGTAAGAGACACTTAGGAGTGTCCATAGACGCGATACCTCAAAAACACGTGAATGACCTCTATTTTGCCATTTTTTTTCCGAACAAAATGTGTTATGTCATCTATGCAAGTCATGCCGGTTTGGATTATGCGATAGCTTGTGAAATTTCGCCAAAGGCTTTCCTATGAGACTGAATGATTTATTGCATGAATCGTAACATCAGTAACATTATGTCACGACTTGGAATTTATTTATTAATTATTTTTTTAACATTGATTATTGGAGAGATTTGTAGCACACATAGTGGTTAAAAGACTCGAACCACAATGAGCTTGAAGCTCTTTCTTCTAGGAAAATAAATAATCAATAAATCCACAGTTTGAGTTCATTAAACTCAAGGCAAAGCTTTCATTTAAAAACATATATATTATTTACTATGACGCATTATCTGGTTTTTAAAACGGGTATATAGCTTAAATATTAAAAAGAAGATATCTTAAACTATTTAAGAGATTTGGCGACATTTTTCCTTCCAGGCAAAAATTATTAAAATCAGTGAATAATTCTAAATTTTTGTATCTAGTATCTAAATCAAGTGCAACGTTGGTGTAACTTTTAGGAAATTAAATTTTTCTTTATCACGAATACAGACATTTTATTATACTATGTTTTTTTTCCCTTCATTAATGATTGAGAAGTTTGGTTTGAAGAAAATTGTAAAATGTAACACTTCGTGTTAATTTTCATTTTATGTTTATTTATTTATTTCAAAATCCGTCATTAAAAAGTACTTTCTGTGTAAATATACCTTTTTATCAACGGATTTGTATTTCTGACCTTCATAATATAAGGAGGTAGCTGAAATTTAAAAAATATTGTCCCAATAGTTTGAATAGAAGAGCGGTTCAAAGTTTGAATCTCTTTATGTTAATTTTACTATTTGTGTATTTTACCATACTTCGAATATTTTATGGGAATTTAAAAAATGTTTGCACACATATCATTTGTTCATCCAAAGAAAATACGGTCTCCTTTTTATATTTTTTCTGACGCTTTAATTACAGGCAGAAATATATTGTGTTATTTTTTAATTATAAAAGGCAGTCTAATAACTACTAGAATAATCTGTTAGATTATTAAAATTATATTAATACTAAAATTAAAAAAAAATAGTTTTAAATAAGTATTTTCAATCATATTCAAAAACTTTTCAATAATTAATTTTGTAAATAAAAGAAATTTCGATGATTAACTGTTTCTCCTTTTCTAAATAACTGCAAATAAGGGCTAAGTTTGAAAATTATTGTTTGGAAGTAAGCCATGTTTGGAAGATTTTACCTTTGACACAGAAAAAGACACTGGTGTTACACGATGCATTTCATAACTATAAATTGTTAAAATTCTAAATATAATATTTTTCACTGGTTTTGACCTAAAATAATGCAAAATAATGAATAAAAATGTTTAAAAAAATGTTTAAGTTCTGCTTCAAAGGAGTAAGTCAATATTAAATGACTTTAATATCAATATTAAATTGCTTTAATGTTTTTAAAATATAATTTTCAAGAAAAATCAATAATTATTCAGATTTTAAACAAATTTTCCTATAAAAGAAAACGTTTTAAAGTTTTTTCTAGGGCATATTTATGCGGTCAAATATTATTTTTTTTTTAATGTTAGTAGTAATGTCCGTCCTTGATACTTCTGATTCGCATATCAGTAGAATCGGGCTTAAAATTATTTTAAGTATTATATTAAGCTCTTTATAAATACAAAGAAAAAAAATAAGAATTTTCCTTATTATCTTGAACTTTCGATCTAAAATTTGTGATGTTATCTTTCTATGCTTTTAATAATCAGAAACATGTTGGCGCTTGCAGGTAATGCCCAATTGAAGCAGAAGTTAAAATAAAGCAAATGTTCTAAAAATAAAGCAATAGGTATCAACCAGTTATTCATTATTTACAGTCAGTTTGTGATTTCAAGGACTCCAGAGAAAAGGAAAATAGTAGTTGAAGAAGGCTTCATTGACCTATTATTAGGGCGAGTTTTTTTAAGGAATTCAGAAAGGTGTTGGCGATAATTGTAACTATTTTGGTGGTATTTATAATGATTAGTTGGTTTATATTTTCTACAATATTTGTAATATTCGATTTTATTTTGCAGTAACTGTTACATATATTTTTTCTGTATAAGAATTACACTTACGGTGGTTAAGGATTATTTAGATTAAAATTTACCCAAGAAGTTTCTGGTCAGTTAGTGGCATCGTATTAGCTTAACCTGTTTTTTGTTTTTGAGGAAAAGGTGCAATGCACCTTTTTAATACTTTTAAGTGTGCTCTTTTTGACTAAGAGGTTTTGACCTTTCCTTAGATTCTATTTCATTTGCAGAGTTTATACGTTACAAGTGGTGGCAAAAGTGAAAAAAAAATGTGCTAATTATTTTGTATTCCCTACTATGCTTTAAATATTTCCATATAAAAATATCTAATCACGAAATTGCTTGATAAGAATTTTTAATTTTAAATGGAATGCTGAAGAAAATAATTAATATGAAAAGAAAGGCAATATTATATTTTCAGCATAATTAATGCATTTTTCAAAATTATGTTATACTAAAATGATCTAACATTCACTTTTTAATACGTAAATTATTTTTGAAACGGAAATGAACTTTTTTTTTCTGTTTTGTTTGATTAAAAACATAAATCGTTAACGTTTTTTCGATTATTTTCAAGAAGAAAAAATTACTTTATTCTACGTCACTAAACTAGCTTCAAACAATTCTTTTTTCAATAAAATGGTAGTTAATTAGCATACAAAAACGAAAACTAAATGAAAAATAGTAGACAACAGAAAGTAATAATAAATTCCTTCTTAAATAAGTATGAGTGTTAAGGAAAATCCAGTGTGGCTTTAGACCAACACTATTAATTGAAGATTGTGTTAAGCCACAATATGTTTGATGGATTTGGGCAATATAGAGCTAAGCCTAACTTCTTTGTTGTTTTTTTTTATCCAACTCGTCATTAGTATTGATTCTACATTAGCATTTACAAGTTTCCAGAATTTTATCGTGATTTCCACAGTATCATCTAAACAGAAACCTCTTATTGCCATCATGGAAAAATCATGGTGTTTTGTCCGAAAAAATACACCTGAACACTTTAGAAAATGTGGCTTATCACTACCTTATGCATAAGCGTTTTATTTCAGACGTAATTTAAAATATTAAAACTACTTACCTTGTTGAGATATTTTTTTTCACCGATGATTTTTTTGTTTATTCCATTTCCATCGTTTCAGATCTCAGTACTATTTCTATCGTTTGCAAAAAAATAAACTTTGAGGCTTGCAATACGCTACATTAACTTTAACTCAGAAGTAAAATCGTTTTATGTTTTCTACATGCGAGATGAAGAGTGTTTTTGGTAGGATGGGTGGCAACACGAAGAAATCGTTTGAAAATAGACGTAAAAGGAGATAGTACGCTGGTCTTCTTCCGTAATGTTGATGTGCTCTATTTAAGACTAGAGAAAGCTATTTATGCTTTTGCCGGTTTTCTCTTTCTTTTTTTATCACTTTCTTTTTAACCCCTTGTCAAACATATCCACAAGTTCATTTCCCTGTTCGATACGACTTCATTCAGTTCATTTTGCGAAACTATTGTTTCTTTTAATAGCCATTGTATTGAACTTAACATGGAATCCATGTAAAATTGACTGAATTAAAATACTCGTTTTCGTCATAGTTCTCTGTATGGGGCATTCTAAATTAAGAATTTGTTTTTGTTCGGGTCATATTTTTAATTATTAATAGTAGGTTATTGACATTCATATTTAAAATCATCCCTTTTCTTTTTATTTATAATGAAAAACGGAAATATTTTTTTGATGGTGATTAAAAACTCCTTTAATGTGAATTAGTTAATAAAATTGCTTTTGTGAAAATTGCAATTTTAAGTCACATATCTTAAATTGTTATTTAGGCAATGAATTGTTCGAATGTTTCCATAACAAAAAATTAAAACAAACTTATAAGAAAACCATGCTTTATTTTGCTTGCTTTGAAATGCACCAGCATGATAGCAGGGCAGTGTGTCCCTTGAAGAAGTACTGTTTTTGCTGACATGCTTATTTTTGAAATTTCGTTTTATTTTTATTTAAGTTCTACCATGTTTATAGTAATGTAATATTGTCAAATAGCGATGGTAAAAGTTAATTCATAGTAACTTAATTTTTTCTCTTTCTAAAATAGAACTTTAACTTTGAGAGATAAACGCAGGTTTGAATGCTCACAAATGTTTTTACTTTTAAAAATGATAAAGAGTGGCTGTAACAGATGTATTCATGTTTCGACGCTTATTCATTTGTTTAAATTTCGTCATCATTATTTTAAATCTGCATAATCCGCTGGAACCTTGTGGGGTTCGATATGTTTCGAAAAGTAAACTAGTAAAATAGACTCGTAACCCAAGTACAATTGTAACTGTACTATAGTAGACACGTAACGTTTTCCCGTTGACTTACCACTTTTTTTTCGGAAACTAAATAAAGACGAATTAAAGTGCTTTTAAAATTCCTATGAAGAGATACTCCTCTATTAGTTTATAAGAGTTCTTAGAGGTTATTTTCTTACTTCAAACTTGCTTTACTATAGAAAACCAAATTACAACTATATTAAAATTTCCGATAAATAACGTGGTTACTTAAATTAATAAATCTTTTCGAATTGTCCATGAATTAGTGATCACTTAAGGCTTACAAACGCATGAAAGAATTATTTTATTTTAGTTTCTTTTGTATAATTAATATCGTATGATTAGTAACAATATCTTTGCAGCTTTTAGCATCTTTAGAAAAGGTTTTACCTTACATGTGCAGCGATGCAAAACTTGCTAATGACTTTTTTTTAAGGAAGAAGCATAGGAAAAATGTGATTGCAAATACGTGAACGTGTTTGATTTTCTTGGAAAAATAAAAACAAGAGTATTCCTGTTTTGACGCGAAGGAAAAAAAAAACAAAACATGATACGATGTTCTATTTAACTCGGGTAAAAGGTGCTTTTAAACATTTCCTTTCTGGGCTCAAATTTATAACCGTCTGAAGATTTCGGGTTTTCCATTTTTATAATCAAATTAAGACTGTTTAATCAAGTTAAGTTTCTTTTGCCATGAAATTACGTCCTTTTTGTGAAAGGTTTGCTTTTTCATAACTGAACTGCATTGCAACAGTTACTGAAGATTTCTAGGTCAAGTTAAACCTATCTTCAACCACCGTGAAAATGGCACAGAAGCTCAAAATGTGGAAAAGTCACAGTTTAGTGAAAACGAAAAGGGCTTGCGTTCCAGTTTTTAATTATTAAATAGTTATCCCAACCATTATCTGGGCGCATTAAAATTTGAAAAAAAATTGAGAAATATTTATTAAATTTGACAATTTTTATTTAGGTGAAAAAATCTTGCCAAATTGGTGATTTTTAGAAAGGTTTCAGTTTATTATTTATAGTAAGATGATATATAGTTCAAGATTAAGGAGTTGCTTCGATTTTGAGGCATTTAAACAGTAACTTTTTAATTTTTCTGAAAAAGAGTTTCATAAAACAACTTAGATTGCGTGAAACATTTGAAACTATTAAACTTTTTCAGTAAATTCGCTACCTGTCTGAGGGCGGGTTTTTTTAAAGGTGTATATACATTACGATGCTCCCAAAACATTTAAAGCGCTAGAGAAACATTAAGTTAGGTGAGCAAAGGTTTTTTTTAACCAGTTAAATGCAATTTTTCTCGATTTTTGCTCATGATCCCCATTTTTAAAAAAAATTCTGACTTAACTATTTAATTCTTAACATTTTTTTTTCAAAATTAAAACATTCTTGTACTGTACACAAAATAAAAAACGGACCACCCTGAATTACTTTTAATATAATGATTGGATCTTCGCGTTCTAGAACTCCAATCTTAATGGCTCAAAGGGATGACCTTAAATATGCTAATTAATAAGTACAGACGATATTTTAAATTACGAAATCAGAGACAAAAACGTGCTTTCTCTGAACAAGATACCGTTTTTTTCGACGGTATCGGATTTTTGACCCCAAAATATGAAGGGTAGCTGAGATCTGGTAAATATGGTCGTAATAGTTTTGTCAGAAGAGCGGTCCAAAGTTTGCACTCATTAATAATAGTTTTTCATATTTCACTATATCTCGAGAACTTTTTAAGCGAAGTGAAAAGTTTTTGCACACAATTATAAAATTAGTTTATGCTAAGAAAATTTCTTGTAAAATATATTTTTGAGTAAATATTTATTATTTTTTATTATTTTATTACAGAATGGTCAAAAAATTTGTGAATAGTAAGGTATAAAATTTTTTGCATAATTTTAAAGAATGTAATTTTATATGACAAAATACAAAATTTGAGCAAAATCGGTCGAATAGTTCTTGAGAAATCGAATTTTAAGCATCGGAATTTTTGAAATTCAATTTCTCAGGAACTGTTAGACCGATTTTGCTCAAATTTTGTATTTTGCTATGCGAAATTACTTTATCTAAAATGCTGTGAAAATGGTATACCTTACAATTTAAAAACTTTCGACTATCATTACATAAAATAATAAAAAATAAAGAATATTTACTAAGAGTTATGATTTGCATAGAATTATCTTTGGATAAATAAATATTATAATTGCGTGCAAATATTTTTCTACTCGCCTAAAAAATTTTCGAGAAATCGTAAAACACGCGAGGAAACTTTGGATTCATCTCCTGACCAAACGATTGGGACCATATTTCCCAGATTACGGCTACCCCCTATATTTTAAACATCAAAATTTGATTCATTTCAAAAAGGTATGTTTATTCAGAGTAAGTACGTTTTTGTGTAAGATTTTGCAACTTAAAATATCGTCTGCACGAATTAATTAACATATTTGAGATCGACCTCTCAAATCATTAGAATCGAGTCTTAGAACGTGAAGATCCAATCATTAGATCAAAAGTTACTTAGGTTGGTCCGTTTTTAATTTTATGCACTTTACATAGTAATATATTATCAATATAGGTTATTTTTATTGATCTGATATCATTTTAACGTGATTTTCTTAAAACCAAATGTAGTAGCCAATAATAGAAAATATCCAGGTTAATTAAGCATAAATTCCCACCGTTTCTGATGGCTGTTTTTTTACAGCTTTTCTCGCCTTTTTGACGAGGAATGGATGAAATTATCAGTTTTTCTAACATAATTGAATAAATATCAAATTATTTATATGCATGAGCGAATAATTCTTAAATTATAAAATTTACTACCACTCTAAATATTTAAATGAAAATATAATATTTGTTATAACTAACAGATTCACCAAAGAAAAAAATACAAATGAATTTATTAAACAGTATAGCAATTGTATAATCATGAATATACTGAAAAGCATAGCATTTGAATTATAATTTACGCACTGCTTAAATTCTATCTTTCTTTTGCAGCTGTTACGATAAATTTCTCGATTTATATTGGAAATAGGTAGGTTTTGTTTACCTTCAAAATTCCGAGTTTATATTCCTTAAAAATTTTGAATTTTCCCCCAATCTTTTAAAATCTGTGGGTTTCTTGCCACGCTAGTTGGAAACGCAGTTATGTTCTTTTTTCATATTTCGGGATAGTTGCAGCTCTATATATTTAAAGAACTATATTGTGCGACTGTTAATCGAGACAAAGCATAATTTAAGAATAAAAGGAAGACTTAGTATATACTTTTACTACTGTATATCGCATCATTTCACGTCCCGCAATGAGGACGCGGTTCTCTGTAGAACACCGAAGTAAAGCATCACTGACTGCGGTCAGTAAGCGGGTGGGTGACCACTTTGATCAGTCTGCGTAGGGACCGACGGTGTGCAGTATCGGTCCTCATTAAACTGTTCTACCATAATGTGCTAAACTTCGAGAGCCGGTCGTAGGACTATCATAGTAGGGGAGTCATCCTCTCTGCAGAGGGTCAAAATTGCCATGGCATGTCTTGGAATCGTCCTCAGAGATGTTCCCAACAGCCCATTGTGCAATCAACCTACCAACCTGCATCGTTTCACAACTTTTTTCTTGTTATCAACAAAAATAGATGTGAAAGAAATCATGTGAATGGTGAAATCTCTATTATTAATCTGATAACATGATGGCACGCATGAAAATTTGTTTCATTGTCGGCTAAGGATACACGGTGAGCATTCAAGCGTAAATTATAAACAATATTTGACAGTTTTCGTTCTCGAGAAAACGATTTGCATGGGTTGGTTGCAGCTTGTAAAATTTTGTTCAGAAGTTGATTGTTTGTTTCGAGTAGAAACACTTATTTAATTTTAAAATAATGAATNA